GCTGGGGATCGAACCAACAACCTTATACAACCTTCCGATTAGTGGACAACCCGCTCTGCCTCTGCACCACAGCCGCCCCCTGGTAGTGTATACTTAACGTATCAAAAGTAAAAGTACTATCATGCAGTTACAGGATTATTATTAATGATGCATTTGTGTATAAACAGCCCTCAATTTTTGGCAGTTGGTTGAGGTCGGATTAATTTGACCTACTCCACTGGGTTGTGTATATCGTATTTTATAAGCTCATTACATGCTTTGTATGTACAATCTTAATTTGTAAAGTAAGCAGTAATTAAAGCTGTTACAAAAATGTAGTGTAGTAAAGAGTACAATATTTGCCTCTGAAATGTAGTGGAATTTACACAAGTCATGTGCAAGAACTTTAAATGTATTTAGTTAGTACAGTACTTGTACTTGTTGATGTAATATATAGTTTAGGCTCACATTACAACACTGGTATACACTGGTTGATGGCTGCATATTATACCCAGTGATTTTGCCGTGCATCGGCGTGTGAATGTTTATGAATGTTAGTTTCTGTTCGGTGGGCTTTGCCATCACTGAGTGAATGTGTCTGAAAGGGTGAATGTGGCATGTAGTGTAAAAGCGCTTTGAGTGGTGGGAAGACTAGAAAGGTGCTATACAAGTACAGGTCCATTTACCATGCCTTCAGAGCCCAGAGGATGTGAGGATTTACATGCTCTGAGAGAGTAAAACAAGACATGCTGAATCCCCAGATCTCTATTTATTACTGATCACAAACACATATCACCAGTCATCAGTTGCATGTGTTATATTGAGGATCTTTTCTTCTGCAGCCTTTTCGCATCGTAATGAAAATACAATTGATGTAAACAATAAGTATGTTTTTTAAAGTAAAACAAAAATAACAAATCAAACAATATCAATAACTTTGATTATCGCTTTGACTAACATGACTGTTATTGAGAATATGAGCTGTGTCCCGGTTTGAACAGAAGAAAGATGGCTCACACTTTAAATCACTTTTCATGTATGTAGTGACCAGATGTGGTAATCTGTTGAAAATGCTGTGTAAAGATAGATATGTTGAAAAAGTACTTTGCATTTTTCAAAAACAAAAGATGGACAAATCTTTCATGAGTGATATTATTTCCCACATTTCTGGAGCAACTGGAGAGAATTCTTAGATATTTTAGACTAAATGTATCAGTTCAGTTCTTCAACAACAATTCACACAGAATGAGCACAGGGAAGTTAAAATCACCACAGTACAGAGGACGTCTTCACCTCATCACAGACAGCTCTGTTCTATTATAACACTGGGTCATGGTCAGATAATAACAAATCAATAATCCATTTGATCCATACACTGATTGTATAAACGGCCAGAGTGAAGTGTATTTCTGGGTTTCAATTGGCCTTTCCTAAGTCCTGCTCCTTTTTGGAACTTCAGTCAACTGTTCCTTTTCCTGTAGACTACTTAGATGCTATATGCTAGGCTCGTCTAGGTTGGAAAGACAACCACATTTTAAAGACGGTTAAAAGATAAAAGGTAACATATCCACATCTTAGTTAGCTAATGTTAGTAAAATGCAAGCTAACTGGCTCCATAATCTACATCAATTTTAGCTTGTTAAATAGCTTGTTAAATTTTGCTGACATTAGCTATCAAATGTAACTAGCTAACTGAAGATTAACATAGATTAGTTTGCTAGCTAGCGAGCCGCATCTGTATGTGATGATATGTTGCTTTTATCCATTGTCAAAATGTCCTGGTCCCGACCGAGGCTTGCTCAACTGGTGTTGCACAGAGCAAAAAGGGGTGGGATTTAGGAAGGGCCAATTACCATGACTGGACCTTTAATACTGTGTTTACCAATAAAATGCATTATTACTGATTACATATGTGTCATAGAACAATTATTCTGTCTTATGTCTCTGTATTCTTCTTCCCCTGCACTGTCTAATGATTTGTCAATTCTGGCACAGTAAAATGTTCAAGTTTAAGAGTAAACACTGGGATTTCTGCAACAGTTGTATGTAAATTCTCTGATTACACAGTTTTTCACAAGCAGGATGACTCTTCAAAGGTAATTCCAATGCGTAGCTGTTCCAAGCTGTACATATACCTAAGGTTCCTTAAGATGTTCACTTAATATTTAACATTTATCCTTATCTTGGTCTAATACTTAAGGAATCCCTTGAAGTTGGTTAAAATGTTGCACATTAGACCTTACCAACCAAAGTAAGAAAAAAAAAGTACAGTCCCCCTCCACTCAGACTTACAGTGCTGAGTACAGTTATGGCACTGTGCCACAAAAACTCCAGTATGGGTACAGCTTGGTACATATGCACTGGAAAAACCCTTCACAAGCACTACATTACAGTATAGCTCACACAATAGAAGTTTCACAAATGACCACTAGAGGGTGTAAGAGGGCTGCACTTGGTCTCATGCACACACGCAAACACATATACACAAAGAAGAGGAGGGAAGGCTGGGGAGCGCTGGCTCATTCTAGGGGGCTGAGGGGCCAGATCACTCGTCAAATCGTCCCTCCAGGATGCTCACGAATGAGAAGGGGATGAACTTGAAGCCCTGGCCGGAGTAAAACTTGTTCTGGAACTCCACCCTGAAAGAGGAGGACTTAATAAGGCTAGTTATATGTATTGATATATACATATCACACAATGGAAATGGCCAAGTAATATTAGCATTTACTGTTGAATATCATGTAATAAAAT